GAATCTTTTATTAGTTTTTCTTCATCATCTTGAACTGTCAAGATTACTTTCCCAACATTTCCATACAAAATTGAGGAGGAAGTAAATATAAATTCATTCATAACACGGACAAGACTTCCTGAGTAATCTACCTTCAGTTCAGGTCTATTAAAAGATGCAACCAAATAAAAAAAACATTATTTTGCTTATTAGCAAATGAATTAATAATGCTATTATAAATTATTTTTTAGTGTTTGATGTGAAAATGCAAAATAAATAAACAAAAAATTTAAAAAAGCAAAAATATGTAAAGAAAATCATTTAAATTCAAAATTTTCTTAGCTTTAGAGCAGAAAATTAAATACAATATTACACTATTAAAATACAATATTACACTATTATAAGGAAATCTGTAATAGTATGAGAAAATTTTTACACAAAGTTTCCACATAAGTAAATAGATTTTTTAACTATTTTGAAAACTGAAGGCATAATACTCATCTTTAAAAAAAATTTTCTCAGTAATATTTTTTAGCTTTTCTTGTTTTTGCATTGTTACAAATTTTCACTAAAACCTTTTTTCTCTTAGTATGATTAAAATGATATTTTTGCTCACCCGTAATTTACTATATATTTATGTTTGTATGTTGTTGGAACCTTTGGCACAAGTTTATTCACCCATAAGTTACTATATATACATATAGTAACTTATGGGTGAACAAACTCTGTTTGTGCTCTATCTGAAATCTGGTACAGCATTTGCTCACCTGTTAATATATGTATGCTAGTTATCTGTTTAAATCTCTTATGTAGTGTTAGTTCACTTCCCATAGTGAATACAGCCATATAACATATGTTTACTCTTACTTCCAGTATACATTAGATGTAATGTTTTTCATAATGTATTTCCAAAGTCTTCCATCCAATGTTTTGAAGAACTACTTGCAAAATTAACGTTTTTCAACCAAACCAAGTCAGTTCAGATTCAAGATCATCACTATCAACCTGCTAGTGGTAACATGTAACTCAGGACAACCTGTCCCATATACTGCAGCCTAGAGGGATTTGTTTTTTTAGGCAACGGCTAGGATATATAAACTCCGACTGGAAACTCCCTTACCTTGGGTCTCTTGGTTAAGTAATGGTTGAAATTGGTGTCTCAATAAAAATACTCATCTTTAGCTGATATTAACTGTATCCAGATACTGTCTTGTGGAAAACCTACCAGACAAAGAATTATTGGGTAAGCAAGATAGTTTTATTGACCACATGCACCCCTTTATTATCTATTAGGCTGGCATAGATGTAAATCTGTTACATTGTTTCCGAATGACAAATTCTAGACCTATTGATTCTATTCACAGATTTTTGATTGTGCCTCTTAAAAGTGGCTATGCAACTTTTTATGTAATCTCCTAATGAAGGTACGGCTCTAAAACCCATTTTAATAGTGCTAATAGTAAGATTTCCTGAACTTTGTGGCAGCTCTCAGAGAGGATGATTCTATAAGCAGTTGTAAACATTAAAGTATTACCAGTGCAAAGTTGGGCATAAATAGTGTTTCTGTCAGTGCTTTTGGTGTGCATTGTCAAAGAAATATAAGGAGCCCTAAGTTTTGACTTGATGTTAATTAGCAGGACTAAGTCCTGTACTAGATATCAAAAGACCTGCAGATGTAAGATGCAACAGTTCACATGATTATTGCTGATACAGATTATATGTTTTTAGAAAAAGCCAAATAATCACACAACAAACAAAAAAAAGATGATTTAAAAAAACAAAAAGCATACCACCTTTGTGTTATGCTTTTATTCTAATGAAATATTGCCAGTTTATCTCGCGCACTCTGTATATCATATACACACAAATAGATGGTTGAAAATATTGACAAATAAAACTTACTATTAATATAAATAATTATAATGATATTTTTTTAAAAAATAAAAAAAATTAACCTTGAGTGCTGGACTGTTATAATGGGAACAGGATCAACATTTAATGCAAGATTGTGATATTTATCATAAGCAACCACTTTTGTTGCATTGGTTAACTCTTTTTTTCCTCCACAAAAAGCATTTAGAGTCAAAGGAACAAATGCCCATTTAGTAGGAATGTCTGAAATTAAAAAATAGGTAAATGATTTGCTATCTACACAGAACTGAAAAAGTCAAATTTATTTAATCTAAAAACTCAATACTTGTATACACAAATATATAGAGTAATAAATAATTTTTATAACTGCAATAAAATTTAAATTTTAAATGTAAAGTAATTTATATATATATATATCAACCATCGGAATAAGTAAAAATGATCGAGGTTGGCAAATTATTGCCAACCTCGATCTTTTAGAGGTCGGCAAAAAAATTTTGATATAAAGACCTTACCATAAGACATAGAAATGAGGTTGGAAAAATATTGCTGACCTCACACACTTTTAGGTCAGCAGTTAGGTTGACCTTAAATCCAAGGAATGTATACACACATACATACATACGAACACACATACATACATACAAACATACATACATACATACATGCATACTTACATAAGCACAGACATACATACATACATACATACATACTACATATATACATACATACTACATATATATATATATATATATATATATATATATATATATATATATATATATATATATATATATATATATATATATATATATATATACTCTTGCATGTCTCTTGCGTGGCATCAAAAAATGTTTCCCATAAACTGTAGTTTTAAAGAGCGCGTTAATAAACCAGACCAGAAAAAGTTTTAAAAATTAAATTTTTTTTTTTAATTGATAGACTGCCTGGCCAAACCAAACCCTCAGTCGATGTAGCAGCACTCTCTTGCGAGTCAGGCTATTTGTCAGTCGTTGTAGCAGCACTCCCTTGCAAGTCAGGCTATTTGTCAGTCGATGTAGCAGCATTCCCTTGCGATTCAGGCTATTTGTCAGTCGATGTAGCAGCACTCCGTTGCGAGTCAGGCTATTTGTCAGTCGATGTAGCAGCACTCCGTTGCGAGTCAGGCTATTTGTCAGTTGATGTAGCAGCACTCCGTTGCGAGTCAGGCTATAAGATAGTCGATGTAGCAACATTTACGCATGTTTAAAAAATGTTTGTTATTAAATCAATAACAAAAACACCACTAATTAAAAATAACTTTCTAGTCGTTATAATTGCGGTTTTTTAAAAATTTTTTAAAAAACAATTAAATTTAATGTACTTCCGCATAAATTAATTGCTTTGACATTTCGATGACAATCAAAAACAGCTTAAGAGACGAGGTAATTAAAATAGTAGTTGTAAGAGACTTTTTTTACATTAAAATGCTCTTAAAGCTACACTATATGGGTATATATATATATTTATATATTTATATACATATATATATATATATATATATAAAAATTATATATATATATAAATTTTATATATGTATAAATTTTAATGTTGATTTAACTCCCCAAAGCTGATAAGGCCATTACAGACGAGGAGGCTACTTAATTGTGGTTATAACCCTTTCTAAACTCAATAACTCTGAAATACGAACCTTGATCAACAAAGCAAATATAGAGAAACAATTTGAACCTTGAACAACAAAGCAAACACAGAGAAACAATTTGAGCGTGGTACTAACAGGGACGTGGTGGACATCAAACTCAGAACCTCTTGCTTATGAAGAGACCACTCTACCACTACACCACTACTGCAATAAATATATTAGGGTTATGATTTTTTTGTGACCAAAGCAATTCTTGTGATTTGGTAGACAAAATAAATCTAAGCTGGAAGTTCTCTTTCTTTTTACAGATTTTCAAAAAGATCTTAAAGACACTTGATTAAAGACACTTTTTTTTTTATTGTAATTCACCTCTTCAAGGCCGAGAAGGCCACTACAGACGAGGAGGCTACTTATTTGTGGTTATAACCCTCTCTCAACTCTATAACTCCGAAACACGAACCTTGATGAACAAGGCCGCTGCACTGAGAAACGAGTTGAGCGCGGTACTACCAGGGATGTGGTCGGGATTGAACTCGGAACCACTCGTTTATGAAGCGAGCTTCATAAACGAGTGGCACAATCACTACCTTGGTAGTGATTGTGTTACTTCTTTATGATTGGTGTGCACAACCACTACCTTGATTCCGCACACCGATTTATTCTGGGAATTTCCAGTCTTGATGGTTCCTGATTTCAAAACTTTTTCGCTGAGTTTAACGCTTTTTGTGAGCCTGCAAGCTGCTACATATCTTCCAACAATCATTTGCATTGTACATTTGGTCAGTAAATCAATAGTCCACCCATCTATAAGAGATGAATCTATAAATATCAAGAAGTGAATTTCTTCTCTCCTGGTAGTATAATAAATGCTAGTATTGCTCTGGGATCTTGCATTATTTAACTTTGGTATTTTCTAAAAATTCACTTTAGGAAATACTCCAGATTCTTCAATAATAGAAAAATAGAAATTTCATATCATCACGTTATCCTGTTTTTTCAGTATTCACTTCTTTACCATTCTTGAAACTCTTCCTGAGTTGTTCCTAGTTCTTAACACATTAGGGATAAACAGATAATAGATATTGAGTAACACACTGTTTCCTCATCATTTGTTCTTCACCCATTACTATACAAAGAAATCAATTAAGAACATGATGTTGACAACCAATGAATTGTGGTTCTTCAGTTTCTTTTCAGTAAAATCTTTTTTAACTGAGTGACAATCCCATTACTTCTTCAAGTGTTTACAATCGCAGTGTCTGCTACAATTATCTTTATACTTTTCTATAAATTGTATGCATAAAGAAAAGCTATTCTACCTTTAACAACAGCATCTGCTTTTCCATCTGGTAGATCTAGTGCTTGTAACTTCTCTTTGTTTATTCTGCAACACTAACACTTAAAACTCTTGGTTTTAATGCAACCATCAAAGTGAAGTGACCAGTTTTCTATAGGTTTTTCTTAATTTCTTCTTTAAATTTAGCAGGTTCTTTAATAGTTGATATAAATATACCAGACTGTGAGGTGTCTGAATGTGCAGCCCATCTTGAGATAACTGTCGACAAATGGTTGCTGCTTTACTGTTTAACAACTTTAAATATGTTTAAAATATCTTTATACTTTTCTATAAATGGTATGCATAAAGAAAAGCTATTATACCTTTAACAACAGCATCTGCTTTGCATGCAGCACACTGTCAGCACATCTGGTTGCAGTTTTAAATTTGGTGTAGTTTTTGCTGGTGGACGGTTTCTCCGCAGAATGCGAGACAGCCTAATTCAACAATTCAAGATCACTTAAAAAATTGGTGAATCCAATCTTTACATGCCACTGACAATAAAAAACTAAAAAATAGGTCTTTCTTTGGGGTAAGAGTTAGTGATGAGTGAAAAAATTGCATTGATAGAGAACAGTTTTTTACAAATCATATTGCATGTGACTGGAACACTTTCCTGCAAAAAGCTATTGATGCACATAGTACCAACTTTTTTAAGAACACTGTTTTGTAACTATGGCTGCTTTGCATGCAGCACACTGTCAGAAAAGAGGGAGCTGGGGCTGCCCCTCTTTATCAATCTTTTTATTTTTTATTTTTGGCATTATTTTTGATTGATTATTAAATAAACTAAACTAAAACTAATTATTAGGATTTCTTCTAGATTTAATTCTTTAAAATATCATATGGTACAATTTCTTTTTTACATGCAAAGATTTCTTTAAAAAAGTGGTATAATTTCTTTTTTACATGCAAAGATTTCTTTAAAAAAGTTTAACTTTTTTATTTATATTTTCTCATTACATTTAGGTATATAATAGGGTAAAAAAGTCTAGTAACACTTTTGTAATATATTGATTATTTTTATGTAAATATTACATTTTAATGAAAATATTTTTTTTGATTAAGTATAATTGTTCTAGAAACTTCAATAAATTTATCTCAACTAATAAAATAATTTTAAGGAAATTTAAAAAAAAAAATATTTTTTTTAAAAAAACATACTAATATCAATATAAGCCTCATAAGCATCCTATAACTCCCTATAGCCAAAACCTTTTTTTATGTTTTGTTATTCATAACAGATTATGTTATGAATAACAAAATTATTATAACTTATATAATTAAAAAAATCATTACTTATTAAATCATAATATTTAACTTTTGAGTAAAACAATCAAAACCTGTTTTTTTGTTTAAGTAAAATAAATATGTATTTGTTTAATCAAAAACAATACAAAACTTCATTCTTCCCTTTTTTTTTTTGGTGATGCTTTTCAAGTTTTTTAAGGTTTACATTTAGTTATTGTTTTTGTGCAACTTTACGCTTGCATTTTAATTATTTTATCCTCAACTAAAGAAGGATCAACAAGAACAGTTTGCATGTTTAAGGACCTTCTTTTCTATTTGTTTTAGCCAGTTAAACAATTGTACGGATACTTGGTGCAGGGTCTGAAGATCAAGGTCCAAGATCCAGGTACTAGACTTGTAAAAACCAAAGTCTTTGTAAAAATTCAAAGTACTAGGCTTGAAAAAATCAGGATATTCATTTGTTCAATTTAAAACTATACTGGTACAAAAAGCTACTTGCTAGATAATATCAGGGATAAAAGAATAGATTCATGTAGATCTGAACCATGGTATGACATTTGCTAGTGTAGTAGTACACAGCAATGTTTAGTAAATAATAGCAAAAAGTGCAGTTTGAGCAGTGATTATCGAGAAAAGTTTCTTTGAAATTTGTCAATAGCAGCATTCCAGTAAATTTTTAATGTTTTGAAATTACTTTTGTCCAGATGATGTCATAGTACAATATGTAAAAAAAATTTTTTACACCATGGCAACATATATATATATATATATATATATATATATATATATATATATATATATATATATATATATATATATATATATATATATATATATATATATATATATATATATATATATATATATATATATATATATATATCCTTATAGTGTAGTCGAAAGAGCGTTTTAATGTAAAAAAAGTCTCTTTCAACTACAATTTTAATTACCTCTTCTCTTAAGCTGTATTTGATTGTAGTCAAAATGTCAAAGCAGTTAAATTAATGCGGAAGTACATTAAATTTTATTGTTTTTAAAAAATTTTTTTAAAAACCGCAATAATAACGACTAGAAAGTTTTTTTTAATTAGTAGTGTTTTTGTTTTTGTTTTGTTAAAAAACATTTTTAAAACATGCGTAAATGTTGCTACATCGACTATCTTATAGCCTGACTCACAAGGGAGTGCTGCTACATCGACTGACAAATAGCCTGACTCGCAAGGGAATGCTGCTACATCGACTGACAAATAGCCTGACTCGCAACAGAGTGCTGCTACATCGACTGACAAATAGCCTGACTCGCAAGGGAGTGCTGCTACAACGACTGACAAATAGCCTGACTCGCAAGGGAGTGCTGCTACATTGACTGAGGGTTTGGTTTGGGCAGGCAGTCTATCATTTAAAAAAAAAAAAAAAAAATTTAAGTTTTTAAACTTTTTCTGGTCTGGTTTATTAACACGCTCTTTAAAACTACAGTTTATGGGAAACTCTTTTTAACTACCATACAAGAGTATATATATATATATATATATATATATATATATATATATATATATATATATATATATATATATATATATATATATATATATCCTTATAGTGTAGTCGAAAGAGCGTTCGACTACACTATAAGGATATATATACATCGACTGACAAATAGCCTGACTCGCAAGGGAGTGCTGCTACAACGACTGACAAATAGCCTGACTCACAAGGGAGTGCTGCTACATCGACTGAGGGTTTGGTTTGGGCAGGCAGTCTATCAATTAAAAAAAAAAATTTGAGTTTTAAACTTTTTCTGGTCTGGTTTATTAACGCGCTCTTTAAAACTACAGTTAATGAAAACTCTTTTTGACTACTACGCAAGAGACATGCAAGAGTATATATATATATATATATATATATATATATATATATATATATATATATATATATATATATATATATATATATATATATATATATATATATATATATATATATATATATATATATATATATATATATATATATATATATATATATATATATATCAGGCTTTCTCAGGAAAGGAGTGCGGTCGCACGCATAGAATAAATTTTTCATGTTTGTCCACGCATAGAATAAATTTTTCTGACTAACTGACCAAGTTTTATTATTATGCGTTTCAAGAATTCGCGCCAAAACAAAGCTAAACGAAAATACCGCAAAAATGCAAGCAATCTTAAAGTAAATAACAGAAATCTGTTTGTGCTTTAAAATTAAAAAATTAATGTATATTATTAAAAAAAAATTTACCTATATTTTATATTTTTATTTTTTTAGGGTGGTAGTTATTTAAGCTATGAAAAATCAAATCAATAAGAAAAATCAAATCAAAAAGAAAAAGATTAATGTTTAAAGAAAATAAATAGACCTTTTAATGTAAAATTTGTTTATGACTTTTATCAGTCAGTAATACTTTAAAATTCACGCTAGAACTATAAACAATTTTTAAATGTTTCGTAAATACATTTAAATGTTTAAATGTATTGATTTTAATGTTTGAATGTATTGATACGCAAGAAAACACGAAAACGATTGTTATTTGTTAGTAAAATATGTTTTTTTTTTTTTTTTTAAATGAAAGAAAATTTTATTGTCAAACGATTGAGTTGCTTATTTTGCAATCATTAATTGACATTGTGAACAAGTGTTAATATATAATAATGTCCCGAAGAAACTGTTTTCGTAACAATGACAACAGAAGCAATGCAATTATTTTTTTAACTTCTCTCGTAATTACAAAATTATGCAATTGAATAATTTCAACGTAATAAAAGGCGAGCATTGACTCAGTATAATCAGTTTTAAATAAGTCGAAAAAGAACTTTTTTCACATTAAAATTTTTTTATGTTTAAAATCTCAAATAATATATTTAATATTTAGAACAGCAATTTATTTTCTTGTCTAAGTATTGGGGAATAAAGTCATTGCCTTTGCAAAAACCTTTGTAAAAACAAAATTAAATGAAAAAGTTTAACCAAATTTGTCTAGTCTGAAAAAGTTTAACCAAATTTGTCTAGCGTAAATAATGAATCAGTTTTTTAATACATTGTCTGATAAAGTTCGTGAATAAATTACGTATCAAGTCTTTTTATTTTCGTGAAAATTTTATGACTTATCGTCGTCTTTTCCTTGACTTGTATCAAATTTCGTAGCTGAAAATAGCAACCCTAATAAAAGAAAACAAAAACAGTATAAAAATTTTGAAAAAAATGTTCAAGACTTTTTTTTTTTTTGTTACAAGAATTTTTTTTATTATCAAAATATTTTTCTTACATCCAATATCAATTTTATACTTTGTTTAGACTTCATTTCATTTTTTTAATATTATTTTTTATTTTTTGTGGATAATTTCCGCTTTCTTACGAAATAATGCCGCAGTCACGTTTTCTGAAAAATTTATTCTATGCGTGGACAAACAAGGCGTGCGACCGCACGCCTTTCCTGGGAAAGCCTGATATATATATATATATATATATATATATATATATATATATATATATATATATATATATATATGCAATAATGCAAAAGTACAATATTTAAAAAATTATTATTATCAAAATAACAATAATATTATATTATTAATTCAAAATAAATATTACCAGGTAGTACATTTAGTTTCACTTTAGCATCAATGTGCACATCAAACCCATTGTAACTAAAACAACAATGCACTGAGTGCATGCTTAGGTGAGTAATGGTTGGTACATAAAGATCAGGAAGCAAAGGTAAGTGGTAAGGTTCAGCCTTAAAAAATATGTACATAAAATAAAAATTAAACTTCAGTATATAACTTAAGATGTAAATAAGGTTTTTTTTAATTAAAAAAAAAAACAAAAAATATTAATTAAACTATATAAATGAAGTGATCTTGTGATATGTAAACTTTTGGATAAAAGTTATCAAATAAGTTCAATAAAGCTTTAATAGTTCAAAAAGTTCAATAAAACGCAAAAAAAAGTTTAATAAAACATTAAATTGAAAGATGCTTAACTATAAATAACTTTTTACTATTATTTATTTTAAAAAAAAACTTTTAAAACTTTTAAAAGAATTTTATTTGCTAAAAACAAATTGAGGAATTTATGACAATATTCATTTTCAATTGTCATTTTCTTTATCTTTCTATTTCAATATTCAAATATCAATATTCAATTATCATTTTCTTTATCTTTCTATGTCATAGAAAGATAAAGAAAATGATAAGCATGACAAATAAAACTTTTTTTGTAAGTGCGAGATTCACTGAGTATGTTACTTAAATAACATACTCAGTGAATCTCGAATTACTTATTACTTGAACTTTGCAACTAAAACATAGTAGGAATAACATTTAACTTTATAGTGCCACTACATGCTCTAATAGGTCATAAAAAAAGAGAAGTGTGTAATGGTATTGCCTTAACTACGCAAAGAAACAACTATAACTTTTATTAAATAAATATATGATGTTAACTTATCTAGAAAGAATTAATATATGAGGGTTGGACTTGCAAAACCAGATAATTCACTTTTTTTACATTCTGAGATAATTGCCAAAAATGTTTTCCAGTAAACCGAACAACTAAAAATTAAAAAATTTAAAATTAAACAATATATATCATTACAAGAATGACAAAAAAATTAAAAGACAAAAATTTGAAAATCGTGCTCTTTTCATCTTCTTTTTTATTACAAAATGAAAAAACATTAATAATCAATATAACTGTGCAAAAATGTCCTCTACCTTATAAAATAAGTATTTTTAATGTTTGATACTTTTATAGGATTGATGAAGTTAAAACTCAATTGTAACTGTTTAAATGTGGCTTTTGTGATTTTAGAAAATTTTTGTGTATATTATTTTTTTCTTAAATAATGTCCTCCATTTTTATAAAACGTTTTTATAACAGAATGTTGATTAGATAAAATTTTTGTCTTTTGCATCAACAATAATTTTTTTATCTGGTTTTGATAGAATAATTTTAGGCAGGTAAAATATTATTAAAATAATTGCTTTTAAATTTAATTTTTATTTTTAAAGATGTTAGAATATTTAGTACTACAAAAAAACATTGCTAAGTCTTTTTTTTTTAAAAAGTGAATTATCTGGTTTTGCAAGTCCACTCCTCATATGATGTTTCCCTTTTCTGGTCCCTTGCGCACTAATTTGAGCCAAAATCTTCTTGATATCTCAAACTCTCAAACTTTTTTCCCGGTCCACTGAGAATTCAAGATACCGAGAGTCAACTGTAACAACTTTTAACTGCAATTAGATATAAAAAACATAACAAATAAACTAAACATCTGCAGAAACTAAAGAACATGAAGATATTAAGAACATCTATAAAATGTTTTTAACAAACTACTTGACATTACCAATTATTTTTTGGTAATGATAATTAAATTTTTGATACCAATTAATGACATATTTTGTTCTAAACAAAAAATGCTGATAATTATTGTTTTTTTTGTAATAATTATTGGCATTTTTTTGTTTAGAACAAAATTTGTCATTATATGGTATCAAACATTTAATCATCATTAGCAAAAATAATTGATAATTATAATTGTTATAAAATAACTATAATCATTAATTCATGTATATATATATATGTATATATATATATATATATATATATATATATATATATATATATATATATATATATATATATATATATATATATATATATATATAAATATATATATATATATATATATATATATATATATATATATATATATATATATATATATATATATATATATATATATATATATATATATATATATATATATATTGTCGGGGATAGTGCAAATCAGCGTAACTAGCATTGGCTACTATATTTGGTTACGTAAGTTTATATATATATATATATATATATATATATATATATATATATATATATATATATATATATATATATATATATATATATATATATATATATATATATACATATAAATATATATATATATATATATATTTATATATATATATATAAATATATATATATATATTTATATGTATATATATATATATATATATATATATATATATATATATATATATATATAAAACTTACGTAAAATCAAATAAAAACAAAGCAAATTTAAAACCTCAGCCCAAGTAGTTGTCACTTGAGGATTTTGAGAAAGAAATTCTTCATCTGTCATCTGAATTTCTTGTTGGTTGAAGCCAATAATTTTAAGATTTTTAACTACAGACCCTGCAGCAGCATTTATCTGAAGATTTTCTGAGTTACCTGGTTTATTTTCATGTACAACTAGGATTCTTTGACATGCCTAAAATATATATAAATAACATTCATCAATGTCAATATTAAACATATATTAAACAAAAAGATAATTTTATTTATTATTACATATAATTATGTTAAACAATAAGAT